ACAGTGGATGAACTTTTATTTTTCAGAGTGAAACTATTCAACAAACAGAATCAAGATGTTGTAGAGGTATTTTAATTTTATTTTATTGGGCACCACCAAATGTGACTGCTGAGACTGGAGACTTTGGAAGCTGTTCTGGAGCTTTTAATTGACAGTTTGGTTAAGTTTGATGTTCAGAGACAAGAAGACTAGAAATTTAAAACTTATTAAAACTTTTGCTATGTTGAGTTTTTGTCAACTGTTCCTGAAAGATTTAAGAAAGATTAGAGATAAAGAACAGTCTCAATCTTCACACCACGGACAAAAGGCAGCTCTAGAACCAACTTCTTCTCCTTCTTCTCCTTCTTCAATTTTGATTCCTTTATGATTTTTGCTTATTATGTTTTATTGTAAAATGCATGTTATTGTAATCTAGCATTGTCAGAAGCTAAATAGAACAGCTAAATAGACAGGACTGTACATAGGACAGGACATTCCTGTGAAAAAACTAAACATACCCTGACTGCTTACGTTGGAATTAGAAGGGTAAATACTTACTGATCATCAGTGAACTTTACCATCCTTCATAAATACTGAAGTTTGGGGAAATCAAACCACGCAGTGCTAAAATAAATGGGGGGGGAAAAGGCTCCACGGGCTGCAGTTACCATGCTAAATGTTAATCATCATGACAGTACAGTTAAAGAAAGACTGAACAAAATCAGTCTTTAGAAAGCTTGTCAGGTGAAAGCCTCCTCTCTCTAAAACGAACATGGCAGCATGGCCTAGCTCTGCAAAGTTATATCTGAAAGAACCACAAGGCTCCTGGAACTGTGACCTTTGCACAGATTAAACTGAAGCAGGCATGTTTGGCTATAATTCACAGTCTGACAAAAGCGAAACACAACATATCAGCACAAACACCTTTTACCAGCTGTTAAGCACTTTGGTGGATAGATGAGCTTATTTTGTGAAAAACAAAAGATTCAACATGCTGCAACGGCCCAGTCAAAGTCCAGACCTTAACTAAGTGCTGTGAACTGCAACATTATAAAGAAGAATAAAGAAGAATGGGTCAAAACTCCTTACAGTGTTGGTTTCACAAGCTGTTGAATCATGGATGTATTTAGATTGTCACAGGACTGCACAGAGTCCTTTGGAAACTTTATTTTTTACATGACTGTATATAGAATTCGGCTTTAAATATATATTTAAATATTTTAATTTTAAATTTAGGAGCATCATTCCTAAACTGATGAACTGTCACAGAATGGTAAGCTCTGTAACATTTCATTTTTGAGAGACTCTTTAGGATTCTCTTTTATTGTCAATGTCTCCAACATTCAGCTTTCAATTCAGCCTTATTTATGTTGCGCAACATTTCAGACTGAAAGGTAAATCTTTACAATGTACTAAAGAGAAACCCAACAATATCCTCGGATCACCAAACCCCCCTCCCTTTTAACAGGAAGACATCTCTGGCAGATCCAGGCTCAGGGAGGTTGACCATCTGCTTTGATCAGTTGGGGTGAGTGGAAAGCAAAGACAAAAGAGAGATGATAAACAATTTAGTTTTTAATGGCGGTAGCAGCAGATCAGTAACGTGCAGCACTTGAGCTAGAAAAAAATGCAGAAAGAGCGAAAACACAGAAGGTTACAGAAATAGTGCAACATACTAATATATGCATGGTGGGTAAGAGAGAGGAAAGCAGAGAAGATGCACAATATAGCATCTACCCCAGCATTTTGAGCCTATATCACTGAATAACAGATCCAACCTTAAATATAAGATTTATAAAAAGGACTTTAGGCCTAATTTTTTAAGTAGACGTGGTGTCTGAGTCCAAACCGGGAGCTGATTCTACAGAACAGGGTCCTGAAAGTTGAAGACTCTACCTCCTACTATACTTTTTAAAACTCCAAGAACCACGGGGATATTATGAGTCCCACAGGCAGCCAGTGATAAGTGGCTAACAATTAGATATAAATATGGTTTTGTCAGGTAGTAGAGCTATTAAACAGCCTCGCAATGAGGAATTACAACAGTCCAGCCTAGGATCGGGATACCTCTGTAGGCTTCCTTCAAGTTCCAATCTGGCGTATGACCACAGTGATAGGAGCAGTCCGCATTACCATGGCAACCCAATTATCCTGCCATAACGTGGGAGGCATGGATCATGTATGATCCATGTTTAGATAGTGTAATTATTCACCCGCTTGCAGGAAGAAACATTTGTCTTAGTGTTATCTTTCAGCAGCAAGAAGCTGCATTCTTACTCATGTCATTATAGGTGGTTCGTTTAGTCCGATGGGAAAGTGTGCTGGGTTTTGATGAGTTTAATAAGTGTATTAATTGATACATACTTGACCACCGTGTTATCAAACAAATGAAGTAAGTTTGACAATTACTGCATTAAAATAATACAGAATAACTACTGCTGACTGGTAAGTGCTGATTAAATAATCACACTGGAATCAAATTAGGGGCTCGCTGTTACCCACTTAATAGCTGTCCATTAGTTACCTAGCAACACACAAGGTATTAATGTTGCGGTATTAGGGAAAGCCAACCTACATAGCGAGTCTGAGCTTTAGCTGGTGTTTGCACAATCGCATTCTTGTCTCACAACATGGTGCAATAGTATTATGAAGCCCAGGTAAGTGGAATGGAGCATGCTTCCTCTGTCCTGATAAACATAACAAGCGCACACACACGGCTCGCTCATAAATTATTTCTCAAAGGGGGGATTTTAGCTAAGCGGTGCCCTAAATCGACCCTCTCCCATTATGTGTCCAGATGTTATTTTAAGACTTTAAACATTACACAGCACATTCAGTTCAGGTGTTTGGTCCTCAGAGCACAAATGATTCACTGGCAGTGCATTACACAACACCAAAAACAGCTTTTCCAAAACAATTTAAAATCACAGTAGCCGTGATCTATTCGAAATTAATAAAATACAAATAAAAACAACATTTCCTTTTTTTTAAATTTTCCCCTTAAATAGCTTTAATATTTCACCTTAAAATCTAGAAGTAGGCTACTGGTGCGAATGTTTACTTTTTATTGTCCTGGAACATAAGTGTACCCCAAAAAAGGGTTTACTATTATGTAGCTTGCAGGCAGAGAAATGCACTTCCAGTGTTATTTTGAACACATTTGTCACTGCGCAAAGTGGAAAATGAAATATTAGAGGCATATGCAGTTATAGCAACACAATGGAAAGGTTCCTTTCTATGAATTATCTGAGACCTCTGTTCAAAGGTATGCTTTGAATAGCTGATAGCGGACACATTTAAGAGATAAAAGAAGAGGTCACTATCAAAAAGCCTTGCTAAACACAGAAAGGTCAGGGAATAGATTCTTTGCTTTGAAATGTCAGCTGATTACTCTTTAACTGGCATCACGAAGCTATCTGAAGGTCCTGCAACATAAAAAAGAGGGGTAAAGTAATCAGTTACTGTATGTCTGTGATTCGCAGATTTTAGCACGTTTCACACATGCGGTCCTTTCTATTAACATGACGTTATCTGAATCTGTTGGTTTCGTGTTCAAGCACCCTGACAACGTTTGGATCAGACCCAATGACATTAACATATCAAGATAGTACAACTCTAAACAGCGTTCAGTCGGCCATTGTTGAAAAAGCAGAACTCCTTTTATATCTGACAAACATTCCCTTTTCAAATGTTCTACAATAAAACAAACAACAACAAAAATACCAAAACAAACTTTGTAAACTGCGAGATGAGCACAAAGTCTTTAGCAAAATGTTTGAAACATAAAATTTTGCAGGCTAAACTTTTATAAAAATACCGCTATACTGACATTTTCTGAAGCAGTGGTTTCCAACAGAGCAGTTCGTCAAAAACTCTTAGAGTCTAAGATGACATGAATTTAAAATACTGGGAGGCCCACA